TTTTGATGAACAAACCTCACTTATCACACAGAGCGATAAGGTGATAAAAAACCCCATCCATTGTGTGTAAAGAGGTGGCTGGTGACCAAGGACAGATCATGGAACGGTTTGGGCTGGAAGGGATTTTAAAGCTCATCCAGTTCCAACCCCTTGCCATGGGCAGGGACACCTTCCACTAGACCAGGTTGCTCCAAGCCCTGTCCAAGCTGGCCTTGAACACTGCCAGGGATGGGGCAGCCACAGCTGCTCTGGGCAACCTGTGTCAGGGCCTCAGGACCCTCACTGGGAAGAACTGCTGCCAAAGATCTCTTGTGACTCCCCTCTCTCAGGTTAAAAGCCATTCCCCCTTGTCCTGTCCCTACAGGTCCTTACCAGCATAGATGCTGGTCTGGGCACACCTGTGTCTGGTGAGCACATCCTGCCTGCTCATCAAGAACTCTTTCTAACTTTTCTTGGGATGAGAGCTCTCCCTTTGGTGTGGGTGCCAGCACCACTGGTGTGTGTGGATCTGCATGGGCATCAAGAGGTTTGGGAGCCCAGACACTCTGTCTGTCTGTTGGGGGGGAAGGGGAGCTGGGGGGCTTATATGCCCTGGTGTCAGAAACTGGGGAGAATGGGACCCAGAGGCAGGTACTGGCCAGGCAGCATCCGGGTCCAGTTGCTGGAGAGACCTTACTCCATTAATGTATGTCTGTGCTTTTGTCTGTCTGCATTGCTTTGTCTGCCCGCATTGCTTTGTCTGCCCTGTCTGGCTCAGAATCAGCACAGACAGAAACAAAGTAAGACCATAAAGGATATGCTGTTTGTCTCTGAGTCTTCTGGCACAAGTGCAGATAGTCTCCAACAAAGTATCTTCAAAGTAAGTGATTCCCAAATTAATAATGCCACAGGCCCATGGCAAGAGAGGTTTGTCTGGAGCTCAGGCTGGAGAGGCTTGGCCAGACATGCTGCTGGTCCTGCCAGGAGTGTGGTTCATCTAAGAACTGCTCGCTTGCGTATTACCCCAGCAGTGATCTCAGTGGGCAAGGAGGAAGACATTAATGGCTGTTTTCCCAGCTGCTTTTTTTTATTTAATGAGGTGCCACTGAAGTTGCAAAATCCTTCATGAAAAGGGAGTACATCCCGATAACGGTCCTCATCCCTGAGCTGTGAGAGTTTCCCAGCAGCAGCTCTGGAGAAAAGACAGGGAGAGAGACCAGTGAAGAAACCTCCCTCCATGGTCAAAGAATGGTGCAGAAGATGCTCCTATGGTTGTGGCAGCCCCCATCCACCCTGGTGGTTATGCTGGAAACCCTCTGACCTCCAGCCGCCGTGCAGGACCCCAGGGCACCTCCTTCGATGTGAGGCTGTGCTGGGGGGTTGATCAGCATGCATTCCATATCAAACCTGGGGAAAGGAGAGACACCCCATATGGCCATAAGCAGGTAAGTCCTTACAGAGCATCCTTAGAAACACTCCCTTGAGGTTCATTTTTCCAGGAGGAAAAAGGCAGAGCAGTGCTGGCAGGCACACAATGCTTACCACACAATGGTCTGTTCTAATACCCAAGTGGGACAGAAATAATTGGCCAACACCTGTAAGTGAGTGAAAGTTCTGGGGGATGAGACAAGGGCCTGCAGAAGGAAAGTCAATGCTGGGACCTCCCAATAATTGCTTAAAGGAGGCCAGATTTGAAAACCTAATGGAGGAATCATGGGGCTAAGGGCACTGGGAGTGCCTAGTAGAGTCCTAGCTGAGAGTCCTCGCTAGTACACTTGACTTTCATGATATGGGATTCTGTAGGACCAGGTGAGAGCATCATCAACCTCGGGGACCACATGTCCTAAAATCCCCCCAAGTAATGCAAGTCTTCCAACTTGCCTGTGTCCTCTCCCATACCCTATACTAAGACTTATGACCCAGAGAGATGAGTCAAGGTCAAATTTCTAGCTAAAAAGAACAATCCACTAAATACCCAGCCCTTGTATGGATGATGGGGCTCTGGTTTTCCCTCCCCAGGCACCTGCTGCAGAGTCCTGGACTGGAAACATCTGTTTTGAACGAAGCCCATAAAGATGAGAGTCACTGAGATCTGGGTGACAGCCAGCAGCTAAGGAAAGCTTTTCAATACCCATTAGAGGTCTGCAGCTACAGACATACCTCTGAAGACCATCAGAAGATGAATTCTCTCTGTAGTGGCCCAAAGACAAGAATAGTTAAACCATGTCTGGGAAAAACAAGCACTCCAAGATCCATTTTCCCATTTGCCATTCACATTGCTCTGGTAGCAAAAGCCTAGAGTGGAATCTGAAGCCAAATACCACTCTCCTCCTCACCAGCACAAAAGCACAATACAGATGCAAGGTGGCTCTGGCCTTCCCTCCTTCCTTGACTCTCACAGTCCAGGCTACAAACACCCCAGGGCTGTCTGAACTGCAGGGACAGCAGTGCAGCCTGCAGACACAGCTGCCAGGCTTCAAAGGCAGCACTGCACAGAAGAACAAGCTGGCCAGGTCACACGGCAGACATGCCTATGCTCAGAGACATCGTGAAGACACATGCTGGCCAGTCAAGGAATAATCCAACCTCCTTTAAAGGGGCTTTAGAGGTATCCTGTGAGGAACCTCTTGACTCTGCTTGATCTGCACTCCTCACCTAGAGTGGCTCACTATGCCTGTGGAGCTGGTGTCATGGGTCAGCTGGTATGGGAAACAGTGAAGAGCTACAAAGCAGAGCTCTCTAGTGCTTGCCTAACAGGAGAGCTGCGAGTGCAAGCTCACAGCTGCACTCAATGGTGCTAGTGGCCTCACCTTTTCTTGAAGGTAAGAAGCATGTTGTTTTGGATGATGCAATCCTCTGCATTTGATATTGGTCGCAAAATGGATTTCTTGGATCTCCCTTGGAAAATGAGGTTTTCCTGCACCAGGCCTCCGGCTTCATCAAAAAGAGCAATGCCATAGTCTTGAAAGGATTGGATTCTGTTCTTGGTTACCTGCAAAATAAGCCTTAGACAGGATGGCCCAAGCAGAAGGTCATTGTTCATATGGCTCTTTGATCAACACAAAACCGAATGCCAAAGCTATTCCACAGGCTCACCTGGCAGTTTGGGAGCATGTGAAGGGGACAGAATGGATGAGCCATAGCCATGCTCACAGAAGCTTTCCCAAGGCCTTCCACACATTACAGGTGGCCCTAGCTGGCAGCTCAGTTTCTGTCAGTGCTAGATGCTACAAGCTACTCAACACCCTGTTGAAAGACAAGCACAGATGCTGCTGAATGTGAACCTGCTGCTTCTCCTTGCCCTTCAGGTTTGAAATGGCTGTACTTCAAGGCTGTCACTTCTTTGTGTATAAAAAGAAAGTACTTAGGAGTATCTTCTTCCCCAAGAACCACTGTGCCATCATCTGGAAGATCAGTCCTTTCTCCTCCCTAGATCCACAGCTACAGCTGCTGCAGTGCTCCTTGCCCAGCAATCCCAACCCCAGCACCACAGACCATCCCATGGTCTCATGCTGCTCTCAGGCCATCTGTTTGGCTCTACCAGTGGACAGACGAGAAATGATAGCACCATGACATTGCCAGTACTTCAAGAAGGACCTGTTGCCCAAATGAACCCTGCAACATGAACCCTGCCTGTATGCTCTAGGAGACCAGACAGCTGGGACCATGAAAAACGCAGCGGGTTTTATTTTCTGGTCCAGAAGGCGATGTTTTTCTACAGGCACGGTTTTCAGAAAGAATCTGCAGCCCCTGCAGGACTCATGCAGAGCATTTATCTTGGCAGAGATTTCTTTATACTCATTTTAGGGGTCCTTCATGATGAGTTAAATTGCATTTATCTATTATTTTGATGCACAATGGCTTCACCTCAACAAAGAACAAAATAGAGGCAACCTTGAGCCAGGTACTAACCTTTGGAACTGGCTAGATGCTGGAACACAGCATCTAAGTTTCAAAAATTCTAGTTCAGATGCCAGTTACCCCAGTTCTTCAGCACAGCTCACACAGCATGCCAATCCTATGGGATCACAGAGTAATAGGATGGTTCAGATTGGAAAGGACCTTAAGATCATCTAGTTCTAATCCCCTGCCATGGGCAGGGATGCCTCACGCTAGACCATGTTGCCCAAGGCTCCGACCAACCTGGCTTTGAACACTGCCAGGGATGGAGTGTTCACTTTGCTCCCAGCTGCAGGGACACACAAGTCAGTGCCCCACCTACCAATCTACAGGATGTACCTTCATATCTGCTGCCTGGAGCAGCTGAAGGCCACACCGGTGGTTGCCAATGATGTCATTCTCTGTGATGATGCCCTCTCCCCTGGAGACGATGCCATTGCTGTGGTTCTCGTAGATGCTATTTCCACATATCTCCACGTGGCACTCAGCCTCCACCAGCATGCCTCCCTGGCTGTTACAGGAAATGCTGTTGTTGGCAACGTGTGTCAGCTGGCTGCTCTGCACCACCACTACCCCGCCATCGCCCAAGAAGAGGAGCAGGCCTTGAGCTCACCTCCGTTGTAGTTGATGCTGTTCAATTCCACCAGTGCCACAGTGATGGCATGGTGGGCAGCTGGGTGCTCCCCCTCACTGTCAGGATTGTTCTCCCCACCGGCACCCTTCCTCTCCTCCTGGAAGCTCTCGCTGCGCCCCTGACCAGGGGAGTAGTCAAGAGCATCCTTATGGCAGAACACTGCTACTCCATAGATGCTGTTGTGGCTGATCTAGTTGTTGACGAGGTGCAGGAGGCTGGAGGACATCATCCACATCCCACAGCCCTTGTTTCATGCAGTGCGGGGTGGCATGGCCCAGCAACTTAGCAGTGTTTGGAGACACCCACCCCTGCCCCAAGGCAGCTGGTAGTGCACATGCAATGCAGGTGGGATGGAAGCAAACTCCTTTTTGAGCACGCATGAAGGCTAAGCCTACACATGAGGGGCTCACAGAGATCCTTTGGCCCTGATTTGGTCCTACTGGGCTGACTCAAGTCTGTGAGCCTTTTTTTCCCCACCTCTGTCCTTTCCTGGCACTGTCCATGCTCTGACCGAGCTCAATTCCCCTGGTTTAAGTCCTGCAACCAAGAGGTAAATTCCCACTGCCCTGGGGCTCCGTGGGATGCCCAGGCACAGTCCTGTCCACTGGCTCCATGCACAGGTGGCTTCACTGCAGAAGGGCAACCACAGACTGGGAAGCCCGTGTGCCCTGGTCTCTTCTGCTCCACGACTCAGAGTCTTTGGAGCCAGGGAGCACACAGCTTTGTGAGCACCAACCTGGGTTTCCCTGCAGCTTAGCCTCATGTGTCCAGATGTATTCTCCAGTTTCTAGTGCAGGCTGAGCCACAGCTTCATCATGCACAGGGTAGCCAGCCCCTGTGACCACCTTCCTTCTGCCCTGGACACTGCTGATCCACAAACCTCTGGTAACTCCCTATCTGTGTATCTTACCCTCACTGCAAGAGGCTGACACTGTTTGCCAGCACTACAGGCCACCACCACCTCCAGCATTACTAGTGGGACAGATGGACAGACAGATGCACACAAAGCCATGCTATGTGACTACCTGTGCTGCATCTCTGTCCCACACAGGGCCAAAGAGGAGCTCAGCTGCTCCAGGACTTAGATCCATGCCCTGGCAGTGTGGGCTTCTCTGCAGCACTTCTCTCTCTGCAGCTGCTTTAAAACCCCTTAAAAACAAATACCATTTCCAGCTTCCTATGAAAACCACATGAGGATTTTAGCCTCTGTCAGATGTTAGCCCAGTTGTTGGATTACAGACCCTGCCAGACTACTCTGTCCCTTAGTTAGCTGGCGCAGGACAGCAGCAGACACAGCTCACCTTGTCCCATGGGGTATGCCAGACGTAGAGGGCAGCCCAGCAAAGCAAGAATCATCCATCACCCAGGCTTGTTTTCTTACCGTAAATGGTGTTTCCTTCAATGAGGCCCTTCCCACGCTCACCCACCACCACGCCATCCGAGTAGCCCCAAGAGATGAGGTTGTTCCTGAGGACTGGGTCGCCCCCATGGCAGATGTCTACTCCACCCCACTGGTTCTTGTAGATGACATTCCCTAGGGCAAGGCAGGGAAGATGAGGTTACCACACGGGCCTCCTACCCATGGAAGAGCAAAGACACCTGGCAAACTGAGACCTGGCCCCACTGGAAAACACCTATTGCCCCAGGAGCTTCCTTAGCAATGCTCTCCCACATAGGACACCAGTCATTAGCAGTTCCAGTAACCATCACCTCCCTGTCCTCTGAGGCGTAGAGCAGAGTGGAAGACCACTCAGAGGTGCCAGGACAATGGGAAAGCGTCACTGACAGCCTTATAAACTGGATAGTATGGGAGGGTTAAAAAACAGTCTATATGTTAGACTGCTCTAGAGCACAGTTTCATGACCCAGCTGGGCCAGAGACAAAGGGAACAATAATTTGGAGGACACGCTGCAGAAAGACATGCTCCCCCTGTCAACAGCAAAAATGCCAACTAGAAAGTGCAAACTAAGGGATTATTGCACCTAAAGTCATGCAAGAACCACAACGAGGTAAATTTTGCAGTTGAACAGAGGATTAAAGACAGAAACAAACTGGTCATAACAAAACCATTTTCATTCCCATACCTGTGATCTGGCCTCACCCATTCTCATTCACTGCTATTCCAGCAGCCAGTCCCTGGAAAATATGGTTTCCACTGAGGTAGGAAAAGAGAAGGAAGTTACCAGCAGCAGTGTTGCCTGCTCAAGTTTGCACGGATGCCAGCACAACAGGTCTCTGCAGAGGCACCAGTCACCCTGGCTGGCTACTTATTACAGCCTGTTGCCTGTGCCCAGCAGGAGTACTGCACATGGGGCAGCTGCACAGCAAAGCGCAGGGAGAAGGAAGCACAGTGGGAAGGAAGGTACATGCAAAGCAGAGCAGAGTTACTGACAGCTGAACCACTTTCAAGGAGGTGAAAGCACAAAGAGGCACAAAGAAGCACATTCTGTAAGAATATTTGAATGGCAGATGCTCATGAATAGCATCAAACAGTCACCATATTAGACCATTTGTCTGTCCAGCCAGCATCCTGTCTCCAGGAGTGGCCAGCTGGAGCTACAGGGAAAATACTGACAAGGAGAACCAAGTGCGGCTGCTTATCTGCACTCACAGTTATTGCCACCCCTGAGATGGACTTTCCTTTTCCTCAGGATTAAACTCACTCCCCTGCAAACCACCCTCCATGCTCAGCATTCTCAGCACCACATAGCACACCCCACAGGGAGGCAGGCCACCCACTACAAGCTGCTGCAGCCTCTCTACCCCAGAGGCACTGTGGAGCAGAGGGGTTCCAAGCTGCAGGCTCCTATGCACCATAGAAAATCGCAGGAGATGCAGCGTGTAGCAGTTGGAGTCCACCTCAGTTGATGCCACAGAAGAGCCTGGGCTTCACCCATCCTCCTCACACCAGGGATGGGGTGAGACGCTTTATCAGCCACGGGACTGCTGCTCTGAAAGGAGCCCCAAAACCACTGTGCAGATGGTGACCATGGTTGATGGTGGGAAACATTAGGCATAGAAGCAGGAGCAGAGGCAGTGCTGCACTAGAAAAGGTAGGTTGCAGAGCATGTGTGGACCCTGTTGCACATGAGTAGAGGTGTCACCTGCTGTGCCCTGGGCTTCCACCTGCCTCCTGTCAGAAGGAACAAAGCTCAGGAGCCTCAACCACACCACCAGGTCCTCCTCCCCAGTGTGACCCTGAAACTCTGGCTTGCTGCTGAGGTTCGGAGCAGGAGAGCAACCAGGCTGATCATGATGTAAAACTACCAACTGAGCACAGTGCCTGGCACAGACTCTTCCTTGGCATCCACCCAGGAATGCTCGCCAGAGATGGCTCTGCTCCAACCACGCTGTGAAGCAAGTGGAGGAGCTTCTACAGCAGTGAACCAGGGTGGGAAAGCAGTGCATGTGACATGCGATCACCAGCAATGCACAATCACCATCGCTGGCTGGGGGTGTAGGGTTGGGTGCCACACTTTAAGCTGCTGTTCTGCTCCAAGGATAAGTGCAGGCAGTGCAGGGGCCATCCATCTTGTCTGGCCAGACAGCTGTGTCCTTGCTGTCATTGGTTGCCCCAGCATGGCTGCCCCTCCTCTCACTACTGCCTGCTCAGGGCAGTAGCTGTGGCTGCCAGCTCAGGCAGGGCCTGGCAGCTGAGGGAAGGCCCTGCCACCTTGCCAGAGCAACACAGGCTACCAGCAGCGCCCAGGGAATGGAAAGTTGCTTGTGGGCTGCAGGGCCTAGTGTGACATGTGTGCCTGCCTCCAGAAAGAGGAACCAGGCAGGAAGAACACACAATGTGCCTGTACTGGACATCCACACTTGCACCAGAAGCTGCAAGGATATGAATGAAGAGGAGCTGTGAAATCATCCTAGAGGCAATCCTCCAAGAACACAAGGCAGAGGCTTTCAGCTGTGGGGCAGTGCCCTCCTGTGCTGCTCTCACCAGCTTAGGGGAGCAGGCAGTAGCCTTGCACCACCAAGTACCATCATACTTGGCACCTCCCAGCCTCAACCTCAGCACATCAAGGGATCAGTCTCACCCAAACGTGCTGCAGAGGGTACTCCTGAGTGGAAAACACACATCCCAAAGCACCTCTATCATGCTTAAAAATGGTACCTGGCACCCATGTAGCTGGCACACTTCTCAAAAGGACACCTCCCTGCTTTCTTCACAGAGCCCCTTGCAATGCCTCAGCTAAACTTGTCCCCCAGCCAGGCAGCTGCAGGCAGTGTACACAGGACAGAGCTGGGCTTGCAGCTCTCAGGAATGAGCAAAACATTGTTCTGCTTCCAGGTGTGGAAAAGGCATCCAGCAAAGGACATGCTCCTACCATAAACATCCCCCTTGTCCCAGCCCTACTTGCCTGCAGTTGTACACACTAACCTGTCAGTCAGACCCATCCATGGCAATAGCTCCTGTTGAGCCCCATGCTCAACACGGCATGTGGCACTGCTGGGACAGCATGAGTGCATGCAGCCTTGACCAGGGCTGGAGCCTGCCTCAAGCCAGCACAGAGCAGCACTCATGAGAGGAGCTGGAGGGCTCCTCCAAAGCAGGCAACTGGTCAGGAGAAAAAAGGTGTCTTCCCACTTTCCCTCTGCCCTCTCCCTATTACTTCTGAGGTGCCAGCAGGCACAGAAGGTCATATGTATCACTCACAAGGTGCAAGCCGTGGTTGCAAACAGTGTTGTAAGAAGGTACTAAGAGAAGGATATCTAGTAAATCTCTCCATCTCCCAAGATACTTCCTCTGCACTGCTGGGCTCTGCTATTACAATACCACTTTTCTAGGAAAGCGATATGTCTTTGAGAGAGCACTTTCATAATCCCTGATTGGAAAGCCCAGCCCTGACACCTGTGTCTTCAGGGCTGATACTTCTGTTGCAGATCTCTCCAGGCCCCATCCTAGACTAAGTGCCTCAGTAACCTGTTCTTAAGGGTCCATACAGGCAGTCTGTATAAACCTCACCAGCTCTCCTTGTAGTTCACAAACCTCCAAAAGGTCACTTTCATTAGATCTGCAGGACTCAAGGCTGAAGTACTGTTATTTATGCACATTTCCAGCATGAACACTCACATCTTAGCTATGGGGCTGATCCAGAAAAAACATTTTCTTCCTTTTGTGCCCCACCCTGCTCTATAGTACCATGAGTTATCATATGCCTGTTCATTATCACTCACAGGCACAGTGAGAGATGGAAAGGGGTGAGAGTACAGATGAGATGCCCCTCACATCTGCAACCAATACCATGCTCCAGCTGCCATCTCATTTCTGGGCTCATTGCTACTAGTTGATACCAGGTAAAGCATCGACCTGAATAAAGCCTCCCAGAGTACAGCACTAACATCTAAACCTAATGGTATTAAACACATACAAGTCAGTAGCATCAGGTGTTTAAAGCAGAAAGGTGAATTCGAGTAACAATGACTGGAGTGCCGAGGTCCTTTCCGCTTTTCCTGCAAAAGGCACCATGACATGTGAGTTGTTCATCTTGAACACAGCCTGTGTCCTCCTCAGATCTGGGGGAAAACCTGAGGACTGGCACTTGGCAAAGACCTGAGTGCAGCAAGCAGAGAGAGGAAAGTCGCAGAAAGACAATAGTGCACCATGGTCCTATCTCTGCTCTATGGTGGGGGTTGAAAAAAAGAGAAGGAAAGTGTGCACAGTGGGAGGAATAATTCATAACAAACAAAGGAGGAGAGAAAGAGGTCAGTGCTAACTAATGTACCTCACAGCAGGATTTCCATTATACAGAATATAAATGCCAGCTTCTTTATTTCCATAGATCTGATTGCTACGGATGATGCCTTTTCCATTGCCAACGATGACAATGCCTGAGCGAAGACCACTGTGTATCTTACTGCACTACAGTTTCATTTTTGCACATGTAGAATGAATAAAAGCAAGAGGGAGGAAAGTCACTTATAAAAGTGCGCAAGCAAGACAGCAATCACAGAGAAAAGCAACAGCTCCCAACCCTGCTTGGGAAAAGGGCAGAAGGGTAATTAATCCAGCTACCAAGAAATCACTCTCAAATGGCCAATGCACGCTTAATTTTACCTTTCTTTGGGGTTCTAGTACACAATGCCACATTTCTCATCATGCCAGCAGCCTCTTCTTCCTCCAGCAGCTCCTGCTGCCATCTCCAAGGGCCACCCTGGACCTGGTGATGCTTCGTTCCCCACAGCCCATCTGACACTGGGCAGGGCTTGTGGGGCTGCAACTCCAACACCTCCCATGTCCAAGAGATAAAAGTCATCAGTGGCACCCCAATGGAGCTGGAGGCTGGAGTCCAAGCAGAGGACTCAGTGTTACAGTGTGGTGCCTTTTCTCAAGCTGCCAAATGGTGCATGTATGACCGCTGCCAGCAGCCACACAGCTGCTTCTCTCCAACATCTCCATTAGAACAGGAAAGGAGTACTCTGGGACCCTCTGAGCAGTCCCAGCCCAGTATCCTGCACAGAGGCAGGGTAGGAATCACCGAACCAGGAAAAGCAACAAACAGCAGCTCAGAGATGCAACCGAGCCAAACAAAGCTCTGTGGCTGAGCTGCCACCTCCTTACAGCCTAGCCTCACAGGGCTGCCTGCTCCATCTCCTCTAGAGAGCTCACATGGAGAGCTCAATGTAGCCAGAGAGTCACAGAGTGACTCAGCTTGTATCTATGTCTTTGCCTTTCCCTGCACGGTGAGGTCCCAGTTCCTTCAAGGATGACTACAGATACAGCATTCAGTAAGGTCACCCTCTGCACAGCTGAGATACTACCAACTCAGAGGAAGAGCCATGCTGCCGGAGAGCAGCCACTGCTCTCCAGCAGCAGGTGGAGGATCTCAGGTGTCTGCTCAGCCGAGATCCTACACCAACTCCCAGGGTAGACAACATGATTCCCACTGTGGGAAAAACAATTTACAGTACAGTGCCAATTTACTACCTTACTTGCACATGTTCACTCACTACACAGGGGTATTTATTTGATAAGGCAACATGCCCCTACCTCCCCTCTATGTGCAGCAATTTTAAGACACATACCATCAAACAGAGCAGAAGACCATGCATGTACTATCAGGCAGCACTTCGCTGTGCCTTGCCCTTGGGCTTAGCTGTACTCTAATCTGTCAACAAAAAATTAAGAAACAGAAGGGCAAAGCTAACAGAAAGCTCAGTGTTTTCTATACTGGAAGATGCACCCCTCGGAGAGGAACAGCAGGTGACAGGAAAAGCACACTGCTCTCCAGCATGGCTTGGAGGGTACATACCAGAACAAAGGGGTTGGCTCCTTTACGAATGTCCACTCCAGCCTCACAGTTAGAATGGATGTTGTTGTCTGCAGTCAGGCCTCCCGCTGACAGGCGCAGGAATATGCCTGATGCTTTGCAACAATGGATGTCATTCCTCAACATGATAACCTGTAGGGAAGAAGAGAAGCACCTGTGGTTGTAGTTAGAAGAACAAAGAAGAGGACATGACCAAAGGGTGTAGCTCTCCCTTCTGCAACCCCTGTGAATCTACAACCCCTCTGCCTCTCCCACAACCCAGGGTGTGCTAGGCGCACAGACCAGCTGAAAGAAAGATCAGTACATGTGGACAAGTGCTATGAGCAAGCCTGTTGGGCATTACCCACTGGCATGGGTCTGCTTGGGAATAGGACCCACAGTGCTTGATACTACAGAGCCAGGGCAAAGACACCCTCTTGGCCTGGTATATCTCTCCACTTTGCAAAGCCTGCATTCAGCTATGCCAGATGGCTTCACTCACTGCACTGTGCTTGTACACCATCAGCAACAGCAAGCAACCATTCCCTGACCCACGTCCAAACTACTCATGGTACAACAGACCTGTCCTACCCCTCCTTGGGAAGTCCCTATTTGCAGTGGCATCTTCTCTGTACAGCCAGCAAAAGGCCACCTCCTGATTCTGCTGGTTGCTTGTAGCCAACACATCAAATGCTGCAGAGCCTCCCATGAATCTCCCATGAAGTTGACTAAGCCAGTGTGCTACAGCACACATGCTCAGCATACCTTATGCCTTCAGAAGGAAGATCTTGCCACCTGGGGGCGGAAATGACACAGCCAGCAAACTGAAGGCATTGACGCCATGTGTAACAACCTAGTTTCCCCTAAGCAAGTAAGTAGCTAAATATTTACACAGCAGTAATTTTTAATATTTTCCAGCCAAACAAAATCACATCTTAAGTCCATGTCTTATGAATGCTAAGAAATAATCTACAAATTGCCTTTGCATATCCCACTTCAATGACCAACACAAATCAGAAGGTAATTATACTTCCTTTTATTTGCTCATTCCAGAAAGGTGCTTCGCTCAATCTCTCAGCTAAACGTGGAGCTCAGCAGGGCTGGACAGCTGTTTGTCTCCATCAGTCACGCTTGGCTGCCTGGGGAGAGAGCTACAAGAGGCAAGAAACGCAGGCACTTGCTCCAGCTGGGTCCCACACACCAGACCCTGGCCCAGCATCGCCTTGCACTGGAGGGTCCTGGCTGTGCAATGACATCGAGCCCTTGCCAGCTCCACCGTGCTCCCACTTTGTGTAGCACCTTGCTTCCATCTCACATCCATGCACTCCCAATTCACATCACATTCACTGTCTCCTATTGCCTGGTGCTCTGACATCCACCTCTCAACAAGAGCCTCTGGTCTAATTCCTAGCTGAGCAAATTCTCAGAGAGCAGCAGCTGGGCTGGCCTCATCTCCCTCCTATTTGCCACCAGTTAAAACCAGGCTGCTGAACAAACTGGAAGCAAACTAAAGAGAACAAAAACAGAACACAGGCCAAAATGCTGTATCTTTGTTGCCAGCCTAACTCCTACAAAAACAGCCCCGTAGCAGTGAAATAGGGAATTGTAGGGTAGATAATCATTAAGTTGTAACATGTTTTATAAAGAAGCTTTGTGACTTGTTACAAACAGCAGTCCCTGAAATCAGCAAGGACTAGATAAAATTAGTGGTTTCTCACAAGAACTAGTTCCTAACCGGCTGAAGCGGACCTTGTAGTTTGGAGAGAACCCAAGAGAACTTAGAGCACGCGCAAGACCAAGGGGTGAAGAGTGCATGGTGAGGAAGACCTATGGCCTTCATCCCCCACGACCCCAGAAGACCACCACCAGAAGATACTGTGCAAGCGCAAGGAGGAGGAGCCCTAATTTTAATACGAAGCGGAGACAGGTCATACATATGTACAGGCGTATTAGGAAATCTCATGTATATGCAACAGTTACTGTATAAATTTAGAACAAATTGTCACGACAGGTGCACACGGTTTTGGTGGGACTACCCCCCGTGCTGCCCAGCGCTGAATAAACATACCTACTTTACAATCTTACAGATTGTGGAGTCTGCTTTCCACACGTCAGCAGCTCAGAGGGACTGAAAGCTAAATGCAGTCTCTGCTCTCTCCTGACACTACTCTGTCCATGGGTCAGCCTTCAGGAGGGCACCTCTGGTACACGCTGGAAATAAAGGAGCTGTCCTCTGCTGCCAAGAAACAAGGTGTTTCTGTGCAGGCAACAGTGCTTTTCTGTGGGGACTGTAGATGAGGAGCTAGCACGATCACAGCAAAGCCCTTTCCCAGAGCCACATGGAAAAACATTCCCCTTCTTCCCTTGCATAAAACTTTTCTTTGCAGTCCTTAAAAGCAATAGACTGAAAAGTGGGTCCAAATCCCAAGTTGCCCTGACCAAGCAGTGGGGATAGTCTTGCTCTGGGCAGGTGGCTGGAGATGATCCTCTGGAGAACCCCTGACAGTGGGGGATTTTTATCAACTACGTCCTTGCCTCCTGTCTGAAGAGGAACACAGGCACAGAGGTGGAGAACTTTGGGCAAGCACTGCACTGACGGAAAACCTCAGTTCAGCCTCCAGCACATGTCCTGAGCCAAAATCCCTGCTTACACCCCTGTGGCAGGCACTCTCCCCTTGCAGGATCTCCTGAAGCAGCCAGGTCTGGCCATGGCAAGGGTCTGACCATGGCAGAGGCTGACACCACAGTCCTGCAGTCCCTGCATTTGTGTTATGTGCTGTGCAGCACTTTTACAGGGTGAGAGTTTAATTTACAGGTAGAACAGGCCTAACTACATAACCCCAAGCATGCCACCGAGTTAACATCTCCAATTTTAATTACGTTACTGCATGAAGAAAGCAGGTGGCTGCAAGTGACCTGCATTTCATTTGGGCTGGTTAACACAAGCAATGCGTAGAAAGGGAGCCAGTGGAGCAGGAGGGAGAGAGAAGAGGGTTCACAGCAGTCTTCACAGCACCTTACTGTTCTGTATGCAGCGCACTGCATAGGTAAGATCCCTGAAGATGCTTCCTTCGAGTTTTGCTTGCCCTCGCGAATAAATGAATAGTCCTCCCTTCCCATCCCTGAAAAGGCACTGTTGGACGATGCAGCCTTGCAGCTGGCCAAAGACTGGGCCTCCTTGTCCTGCTGCAGCTCCTGCTGCAGAGACTTGAGTTTAAGGTCCCTCTGAAGGGTGTGCAGTATGTTGCTTTGAAGCCTGCTGTCCATAACATTAGCGGTCATGTGAGTCAGGATGCGAGCTTGATAGGGCAGTTTGTAGGCAGCCTGAGCATTCTCTACATCGTCGCTGTTTAAGTCACTGTCACTAGAGTTTGAGTCAAGGGCTGGGCATTCCTCTTCCTTTGCTGCCTGCAAGTTCTCTCTGAATTCAATGCCCTCCTGGGCTGAGATGTGCAGGGTGTGAGCACCCACAGCAGAGAGGAAGCTGCTTTGTTCTTCCCCTACAACAATCTCACATATTCTCACTGGCCCCAGCAGTGATCCTCCCCAGCCACCCCGCTTGGCCAAAGGGCAGCCAGGTGGGTCGGGCTCCCGTACGGACACTGCATGGGATTTGGCCAGCATGGCCAGGTGCTTGAAGGCCCAGTTATGGTCAGAGCTTGGGCAGCCCTCCACAGTTACAGAAGCATTCTCACTGCTGGTGAACTCACAGTTCTCCAGGATGCAGAGGGCCACATTGTGGAGATGGATGCTGGACTGGCTGAAGGTGCAGAACTTCACCCTGGCATGTCCCTGGTGCATTGATCTGCAGCTGCCCACTTTCAAAGTTGCAACTGTCGAATGGGACATAATCTGAGCTTGTCTGGAGAGTAAGCACAAGGTGAGTTCATTGCACAAAGCAAGAAAAAGTGTTCCTGGACATACCATCAAGTCCTTCCACAGCAAACAAGCTCACGCTCACAATATGCCTTCAGGTGTCACAAAAACAAGCTCACACAGGCACAGATGCAGTGCTGCAAGCTGAGTTAGCAAGTATCTTGCAACAATTGACATCTACTGATTTTCTTCCCTGCTGGCAACGTTTCTTTAACTTCAAAGGCAAGACACAGTTTGGCAGTTGTCGTGGTTTATCAATGTTTAAGTGGTTTAAGCCACTTTAATGTCATTTAACACTTGCTCAGGGAGGCCCAGCAGTCACAAGTAGGAGCAGACAGGGCCTAACGTACCAAGATCATTAAGCCTTAGCAACACTCCCTACACAGTAGAGTTTGCAACTTCAGAGATGTGTATTTGCCAGTGGGCATTGTTAATGGACTCAGGAGTTTACTGGGTGAATCAGCAGGTAAGACATCAAACATTACCTGGGTGACCTGGAGAGCTACAGTTCTCCCCAGAGCCATTAGCATAATTGGTGAAGGATGCTGCACCCACGATGCATCAAGCACAAAGCAAGGTATGTAAAAACTTGTGCCATACTGTTGCATAAGCATTATGTTGTGATACTGCAGTAGCAGAGACACCATCAATTCCTCGTTCCTTCACTGTGGTTAACCATCTGACTTGCTGGTGCTCACAGAACTGAGCCACCCCTGCCATGGCCCTCCGGCTTTGATAGGCAATGCACATAGCAATTTATGGGTGCTGGCATACTACCAGGATGATTGTGCATAGCCAATTATCTCTGCTCATCTACTGAAAAGGTCAACTGCAATGCAACAAGGTATACAGGAGCCAGGTCAGAAAAGCTGAATAGCATGCTTGGAATTTCACAGTGCTCCTAATTTGACAAGAATCTCCTACATCACTATTTTCTCTTCCTCGATCAGTGCACCACATTAAAAGCGGATTGAAAATAGTTTGTGACAAGTGAGCTGGGGCAATTTCATAGATACCCAGAGGCTGCAGCCAACATACAGTTCTAACATCTGGTTTCAGCCTTGAGCACCCTCAGAAGTGGTCATACTGCAGAAAGGTTTTGAAATGCATTTATTTGTACCCAAAGACAGTAACACAGAAATCCCTTCAGACCACTAGTCTGCTCTAGACTTAATCGTACTTTCCCTTTTTCTAATTAAAAAGCACTAATTAACAGAGACACAATCAAATAAGCTTCTGAGAGGCTGCTTGTGAAAACCTTTCTGGAATTGCAACTTGCAGGGTTGTTATTACTGCCAGTAAGATTGCTGTAAGTTTGCTTTTTTAGAATTTGTTTTTCATTGATGGCTTTGGAAGGAAATGCTTTCATTTCACCAACAGCAGCTGCACATGGAGACCAGAGCAACAATCAGAAAGGCGAAATGCAGCCACACTGACCAGTCAAATGCAGGAGACATCACTGAGCTAGACATCACGTCTGCTTTAGCAACCCAGCACACGGCCATTGCCAAACAGGGACTTTTTCAGCAGATTTGCAACTCAATTTTCCCACCACGTGCCAGTGCATTATCTTTCTCCTGAGGACTTTCAGACTGACTAAGTTAGATATGTGACATTATAAAATTGTGAAAAAGAAATGAAAGCGTATATTATAGCTAATGATAGGCTTACTTATCGCAAGACAAGTCTTGTTTTTGGAGGCAAAGCCCATAGGTGCAGCATTCACGCTGGGCATATCCCACTCTAGACCAGTCAACAACTGTCCCTGGGGACCAAAGTCTTGTCAAAGTGGACCACGGCAACAGGGCTAAGCCCACGATACTGTGTCCTGACTTAGGTATGCAGAAGAACCAGCTGAGGGCTCCCAGCCCAGGCTGAGGCAGAGTGCACATCAACAGCAACTGTTTTCTAGGGCAGTGGGGCTGATGTGGCACACACTGCAAGGACTGCCAGCTCCAGGGGTACTTCTTGCACACCCAGCTTCTTAAGGTGCTCCCACCTTGCCACATGGGCAGTTGGAAAGGTGGCTGGTGAGAAGGGGAAAATCACTGAACAAAGGAAAATGCACACCAGCCTGGGTGCCAGAAACATCCTTGATAAGCAGAGATACACCTCTGAAGTTTAGCTGGGTATTGAGAAATTAGACACATCCTGACATACCACCAGTAGGCAAACGTACAAGGGACTGCAATGGCAACTTATCATCTGGAAAAGTGGAAACAAGCTATAAAAATAAAATTGCTCTGAAAGAACAAAAACCATCATTATCTATTGGCTGCTGGAGGTGAAAAATGGAAATCAACAGCATCTACTTGTTGCCTAAAATAGTGGTGTGCTACACCCCCTTAAAACAGACCCACGTTTCATCCAAAATTAAGCCTCTCTCTGAAAATGTCCCATCCTGCAGGTACTTTTCCTTTCCTAAGCTGGACGAACTCTCTCTACAAACGTGCTACAAGATCTTGGACCCTGGCTGGGGATGTGCTGCTAATGCCAGACTGTGACACGCAGTGACTCTGATGTGAGACTGGTCCACTTTGGCCACACTTTTGGGGTTGATTTGGTTTGCTCTCCTGCCTCTGGGATGGCTGGACTCCCCTCTAAATGGAGTAACAGACACACGCACTCTGACCAAGTGAACAGTGCTTTGGCTCAGGTGTCACAAATAGCCCTGACTGAAGTCAGCCCTGCAGTGCAAACAGTGCAAGGCCAGACCTCCTCAGGGACTAAGAAGCTAGGTCGGGTCTTACCAGTTTCTAACAGTGCCAGTCTGAGCTGGGACTAGACAGAACCAGAAGTGCTACTGCTGTGCACCTACACAAACACCAAAGAGTGGGGGTTGACAACAAATCCATCACTCTGTGAGTTCACCAAGCTCTCCTCTACGGCTGCGCTGTAGTGAGCTCCCTCGAGCAGGGATGCCTCTCAAGGTTACTCCTTGAGGCTGAAAGACCCCTTACCTGGCATATGATACCCATAATGAGGTAAGCAATGTTTTACACTAGGCCTAAAAGCATATTGTATACTAATGACATTTATACATTGTTATACATATATATATATATCTGTTGTGTACTTAGAAGTATAGTAAGTAGTAGTGTTTGACCACCATCTACATTATTGTTTAAATCATCATTTTAATCAGTGTCAAATCATTGTCAAATCAGTTTCAGTACCATTTGGTTAATGCTTAATCACCATTTGATTACCATTTCACTATTATGCAATCACTGTTTAATTATAATTTGATCATTTAACCATTAATAAACCCTCTACTTTACACCACAACAATGACTTCTAATTCACAGATGGTTTGATCTCTTCTGAAATCTGCCTAATTCTCCTGATGAGTGCATTATATTATCCACATAAGTAACCTATCATAAGCATATCTGCTATTGTATTAGTCTAAGTTTGCAGCAACCTGTAATAGTATTTACCTACTTGTTTGCTACTGTTATTGGTTATTGCTATAAGATTGTTGCTATTACTGATTGCTGCCATACTATTGATTGACACTGTATCATTGATTGCTGACAGTAATGTGTAATAACCTTATAGATATTTATATTTGCTTTATTACACAAAGGGATTTTTGCTAGTGGCAATTTGTGTGGCATTTGTTGCAATCTGTAATCAAGTGGAAATATTTGAAGGATAAAGCCCCTGACCCCCATGTATTAGGGAGTCCAAGAACCCCTGGTTGCGCCCTCTGAACATTCACAGACCAGGGAATTCTTTGGTAGCCTCACCATCCCCACCACTCTGCCCTGCCAAGCCTCACCTTGTAGAGTACCGAGGTGAAGCGAGGATGGCATGAAGACCACACTGCAGAAGCAGGCAGTGGGACAGTGCTGGTCAATGCTTGCCAGCAGTGCCACTTCCCCCAGTTTGCCCTGCCCCACGACCTCCACGGGCACCTTCAGCAGCATCTCGCTCTGCTCCTTGTGCACACCAGGAAGCAGCACAAGCCAGTCATAGGGGCTGGCGGCAGCAAGGGCTGCCTGGAGGCTGCTGAACTCGGCCCCTGTGTCAACACAGAGCTGGTGCCAGCCCTTCCTCCTCTGAAAAAGAGAGAGGCAGTTGGAGGACTGCAAGTCCTGCATGGTTTTGGTCCAGGTTTTGGAGGCCAGGTAGTGCTGTTTGAAGGCCTCTCTCCAAGACTGTGGCTCCAAACCAGGCTGTTTAGGCCAGTTGGGGTGTCTGTGCTCAAGGCAGCCCAGACAGAGCTGCCGCCAGCATGTTTTGTCCAGGCTCAGGACAAGATCATACCAGGCCCTGCAGACCAAGCTGCAGTGGCCCAGGTCTGGAAGGCACAGGTAGGATAAGATGAGCTGCCACAGCTCCACTGGCAGGCTACCAACCTCCATCAGCACCTGCAAATGACAAGACACAGTGTGTGTCAGTGGTGTGCCTGGAGAGCTTCTGGGGTACAGAGGGGAAGGCAAGGCTCAGGGCAGGGACCCCGTGTTGACAGCAACATGCAAGTCCCTACTGAACATACCTCTCCAGGGACAGAACTGTACAGGAGCAGGCCCAGAGTAGCAGGCTAGCACACTTCAGGCAGACACGGGATCTGACCAACTGGGGCTCAGTACTCATCCTATGGTGTGCTCCATCCACCAACACCCCTGGCCCTCCCTTCCTCCCTCTCCTGCTATCCCCACTTGTGGGTCAGCAACACCCAAACAAGCTGTTCTGAGGTCTCTGCTCTTTCAAGGTGGTTAAAACTTTGTTGCTTAACTCTAGGATTCAAAGATGCACATAAACAATAACATCCATCTTCCCCTAGCAACGGCATATCCCACTGTGGCTTGCCCTGTTCCAGCCCCTGCTGTCACCTCCCTGGGAGAGCCGTCTACCAGCTCCCACCCAGTGGCACAGAGCAAGACCCCAGGAGACAGGAGCTGCTGAGGCAGGGTAGGCATGAGGCCAGATGCACGCCTAGAAGCACATGCTGCACGACACGGAGCCGCTGCGTGTTCGGCCAGGTCTTGCTGCTGGGAAGGTGCAGTGCGGCATGCAGAACCTGTATGGCTAACTAGCAGGCGTTCTCCCGACGAGTGCCTGCGGTCTTCTGAAGACCACCCCTCCGCGATGCAGTACCCGATCCTAAAACAGCTTCTCGAGTCCCTGCAAACGGGGCCGCGGGGGTCGGCACAAACCCAGAGTAGCACTGGCACCTGCGAAGCTGGAGAAAGAAGACACGAGAGTACGAGTACCGCAGCATCTCCCTCCGTGGCTTTCCTCGGCTCTCTCCTCCCGAGAGCTCCGGGGCTCCCGCAGAGGG